GTTTTTGTTTCAAAGCATATGTTTGCTGTGATACTTGAATGGATTCCTGCAGCGTTCACAACGGTGGCTGGTTCATGATAATCTTTTTGTTCATTTACCTGTTTTTAGAGTCACTCTCATTCAATGGAATGGAACTTGAGAAATTGAAGTATTAGGTTGGTTACTTAGGGGCGGGGGGGGGGTCATGCCCCTATTTCAATCCACCTCCCGAGCTCAGCTGTTTCTCTGAATTTACTATTTTAGCACACGTTGGCTTAATAAATATCCTTAGATTTTAAAGCAAACTTGCTTTTGGAAAACCTTCTGGTAAATAGATTTTAAAGAGAGACATTTCTTCCTCAACATAGAAGATAATGATTACAGCGTTGATGTTTGTTTGTTTGTTTGTTTGTTTTCCAGGTCATGAAGCAGAACAATGTCCTTGGTACTAGGGTACAAGTATCATATGCTCCATTTCACTATCATAAGTGAAATTAATAAAGGAAAGCTTGATATTGTGAAGTGGAAGGGAGTGTTACCGTAGCAAATATCCACTGACTCAGCTGTTTCTTGACTTCTCTCCTGTTGCAGTTCTCAGGAGATTGCTCATAAGCTGTCACATATTAAAGCGTGTCACCCCACAGCCAGGGCTGGAGGGGAGCGCGGAGAGAGGGGGCCCTCGGAGACCAAGCTCTTACAGCTCCTCACTGTCCTTCACCTAAGGCACTCAGGGTGCTAAAACAATTGCTGTAGGCAACAAGAGATTGATTATCCATCTGGTTTGCTGAATGCAGTTGGGTGTTGGGTGCTCCACACGCACATTCGTAACCCACACAGGAGCGGCACTTTAGAAATGAGGCCAGAGAGGTTAAGAAACCTGGCCAGTGCGGCTGAGCTGGGACTGTTGTCCAGACTGTGGAACTCCTGAGCCTGTGTTCTATGCTTTTTGAAAAAACCATGGCTCTAAACTCCTTTTAACCACAAATATCAAAAAGAAAAAAAAATTGAGCACCAAAACATACATATATAAACTTACAATGATACCTACCCTTACTAAGTATATTATGTACTCTGCCAAACATATCAAAAATAGAAGTTTCAGAGGCTCAGATAAAAACATAGCGAGTAAACTTCTTACCTGCACCCCAGAGGATTCTTTTGTGCTCCCTACTTTGGAGGCAGCAGTTTGGCCAAGTCCCTTGTCCTGCCTGGACCTGTATCTATCTGTATATTGAAGGTGCTTTCTGAGCCTTCCACCCTCTGGGAGCCGGGGGGCCCCATAACTAGCAACCCATCTCCCTACACTTACGTGGAACCAGTTCAGAAGCAGGTTAGTTAGATAAGCAGAGACCCAAATCACATACATGGCACCGGTGGGTTGGTTGCCACGGTTCATGGGAGGGGTGACAGTGCGCTGGCCTGCTGAGCACCCCGGACCAGGCAACATGGTGCTCCTGCCCCAGGAAGCCAGCGTGGAGGAGCTGACCGTGGGTTGTCTGCTGTGGGAGGGAGGCCGAGGGCAGCTACCCCCAGCCAGTCCACCTTCCGAGCTCAGCCGTTTCTCTCATGTGCTCATTCCTCTCATGGGGTGACAGACTAGGGAAGGGGGAATAAAGTCACAGTAGTGACATCCCCCCCGTGGCAGCATGGAAAAGGGAACAGGTGGTTTCCCCACCCTCCACCCCATTTCTAGGTACCGTATAAGGCCTCTTAGTGACTCAGTGGGCTCTGCCCAGGCAGCTGCTGAGGGTGTACAGTCTGTGATTCAGTGTCCCTGTCTTGGGTGCTGCCCTCAGGGAGGGACGCTGGCCCGTGCAGGATTGACTCCTACTCATGGAGAGTGTGGAGGAACGAGGCCTTCCTGACAAGGGACTGCCTCTTAGCTGGACCTGACATGTCTGTCCTGCAGTGCCTTCTTTTCTAGCTCTCGTCTCACTGTGTCTCTGTCTTATTAATTCTTCTCTTCCTTGTTAGACTGGGCTGCCACAGAGCAGGGTGTTCCTTATATTCGTAAGGTGGCAGGTGGGGTGAGGTGCTGGGCTGCGGCCTTGTTGCTTTAGATGCTGTGGCTCTTAACACTCCCGTCTCTCCTCTGCCCACATTTTTTTTTTAGTTGAGACGGAGTCTCACTTTGTCGCCCTGGGTAGAGTGCTGTGGTGTCACAGCTCACAGCAACCTCAAATTCTTGGGTTTAAGCAATTCTCTTGCCTCAGCCTCCCAAGTAGTTGGGACTACAGGCGCCCGCCACAACGCCTGACTATGTTTTTTGGCTGCAGCCATCATTGTTGTTTGGCAGGCCCGGGCTGGATTCAAACCCGCCATCTTAGGTGTATGTGGCTGGCGCCTTAGCCGCTTGAGCCACAGGCGCCAAGCCCACATTATCTTTTCTTTTTTTTTCTTTACTTTTTTTGACACAGAATCTCACTTTATCACCCTTGGTAGAGTACTGTGGCATCACAGCTCATAGCAACCTCCAACTCCTGGGCTTAGGCGATTCTCTTGCCTCAGCCTCCCGAGTAGCTGGGACTGCAGGCAGGCACCTGCCACAATGCCCAGCTATTTGTTGTTGTTGTTGTTGCAGTTTGGCCAGGGCCAGGTTCAAACCTGCCACCCTCAGTACATGGGGCCGGTGCCCCACCCACTGAGCTACAGGTGCCGCCCTGCCCACATTTTCTTGACATGACCCTGCACCCTCCATGTGCATAATCTTTGCTTTGTTTGGTGGTTCCAGAGGTTTTCTCTGTGGGTTGAAATATAAACTAGAACTTGGCAGAACCGTGAGGCATCACTTTCCTCTAGTGTTGGACGAGTGTGACGTGGGGATGTGTGTCTCCCAGAACCAGCTGTCCCCTGGTAAAACCAGCCAAGCCCAAGCAGAAGGGAAGCAGTTTTCTGATTCTCCTCCCACCACCCCACCACTACCTCTATCTCCTTAGCATAGATGAGGAGCCACCAGGGTGGTCTCTGGCACACAGAGGAGTCCACTGTGGCTTCTTTGTCACTCACCTTCAGGAAAAGCCTGTGTTTGGCAAGGGACAGTGTCCATGTCACAAGACTGGGCATTTGAGCATGCCTGGCTGTAATTGAGGTTTGAGGTTCAGTCCTAAGGGGTAACTTACAGGGCATGAGCTTCATGGTACATGGGTACCTGTCACCTTAAGTGGCTTGTCCCTGGGAAGATCACAGTGGCACCTGGGTTTGCCTCCTCATCATAGGGTAACGTCCCAGAGTCAGGACAGAGCAAGGAGGTGGGGTTGGTTAGCGTTTGATGCTGTGGGCCAACTCGAAGGCTTTGTTCACCTTTCAGGGACTAGGTAAAATTAGGAAATCTCACCATCCAGCTGTTAAGCTACCCCACTTGTTTAAGACATTTCTTCCTCCTCCTTTCCTATCCCATCTCATTGTTTGCTGTTACTTGCCATTGGGAAATCCTGCCATGTCTGACTCAGGTCCCTTTGGCTGTTTCTTAAGCAAGTTCCCCCAGGACAGACCAGACCATTCAGGCAACTGTAGTAGTCCCCAGAGCACCTCCTTGACCTTTTGTCTATGTAATGAAGTGAGAGCAGAGAGATCAGAAATGTCACTGGCTCTCTAACATGTCATGTTCAACGTGGAAATTAAAATAGCTGTCCTCTCAAAGCGCTGGGTTCTGGGGTGCCTTCCAGTGCTGTTTCATTAAACATTTAAGGATGTGACCCAGAAGCTGACCTCTGTGTCAGGTGCTACACTGGGGAATGAGTTGAATAAATCCCTGAACTTAAAGAGATCCTAGATACTCACCTTTCATTCTAAAGTAGTCATTCCTTCCTTCCTTCATTCATTCTAAAGAATGCCGGTCATGGTGGCTCATGCCTGTCATCTTAGTACTCTGGGAGGCTAAGGTGGGTGGATTGCTTGAGTTCATGAGTTCAAGACCAGTCTGAGCAAGAGCAAGCCCCTGTCTCTAATAAAAACAGAAAAACTGAGGCAAGAGGATCACTTGAGCCTAAGACTTTGAGGTTGCTTTGAGCTGTGATGCCATGGCACTCTACCCAGAGCAACAGCTTGAGGCTTTGCTAAAAAAGGAAAGAAAGAAAAAATGGCCAAAGTAGCGTAATATAAACCATGACACTTATCTTTGTATCTGCTGTGGGTTGAGCATTCCTTGTCTGACATGCTTAGGTCCCAGAGGGTTTCAGATTTCAGACTTTTTTGATTTTTGTAATATTTGCATTATGTGATACTTTATACTTGAGGTGACAAAAATCTGAAACGCTCACTGGAGCATCATGTCAGTGTTCAGAAGATACAGATTTGGGGTTTTCAGGTTAGAAATGCTCAACACTTATATGAAGAACAGTCCTGGGGTTCAGTAAGCGTTCAGTTAGAGGGTGTCGATTTATTATTTAACAAATCAAAGATTGGCTGGTGAGTAAAGACCTGATATTTGGAGCTAAAACATCCCATTTTTAGTTTACTGAGTGTTTTCACCTACATTGTCCCATTCATTTGTCATTATCACAGCCCTACAGGAGGGGCTATTCATCGATGAAAACTCTTGACGCTCAGGTAAACTGACTTGCCCGTGGGTGGCATGGTGGTGACAGAAGCATGATCTGAGCCTGAGTCTTTGCTTCCGAGCCTCGTGCCCTTTCTACTGGCCAGAGCCACCTCAGAGCAGAGGTGGCAGAAAGGTCAATTGAGACCCATGAAATGGATCCGTTCCGCTCGGAGTTCAGGTTTGGGGAGGTGCAGGGTGAGGATGGAGACTACACAGCCAGGTTACTGTTCTCCCTCTCTCCGTCCAAGCTCCATCCGGGACATTTTATGAGAACACTCTTCCGTAATAGACGTGCTGCTTCATAGCTTTAATTTTACGGGCACCTTTGGGCTTTGGGTTTTGTCCATCTTCATTAAAGGCAAACCACTTGATTGCTCTATTTCTTAGTGGCCATTAAATAAACCATCAGCTGTCTGAGTAAGATGTAGCAGTGGAATGTATTAATAATTGAATACTCTGAAATAGACTTTTATTTTTACAGCTTGCCAAGAACATTGGGAATGCAGGCTTTAATGAGATTATGGAGTGTTGCCTACCAGCCGAGGGCTCCGTCAAACCCAATCCGGGGAGCGACATGTAAGTATGGGACCGGTGTTCTCCTTATCGGAACAAAGGTGGGCTGCCTTCTACCCAAGCCCTAGGGGGGATAACAAGTTTGGCTATATCCATTGTTGCTTCTGTAGGGAATGAATCAGCCTAATTTAGGTTTTCTTGCATGCCAATGGTGGTGGCCTGGCGAGGCTCGCTCGCTGCCGTGGGCAGCACCTTGGACTTTTTGCCTCTGCTGTTCATGTTGTTGAGTCGCCTTCTCATCTTGGTTCTCTGCTTAAATGCTGAGCCACCGAGAGGGCTAGTTGTCACAGATACGTGATTACGTGTCATTCCTCTTGCCAGTGTCCTTGCAAGTATGGAGTTTTCCTCAGTACATTTTGTGTGTGTTTGTTTTTCTGTTGATACAAAACTTGACTGGGAAATTTTCATGCCCCCTCCCGCATCCCACTGGCCCCTTGAGACAGAGCTTACCACGAGATGTTCTTGCAGGTTTTTATCAAATAAAGTGTAAGTCACCCAGATCACACTGGTCATTGAGGAAGAGATGGACATGAAGACTGGTGGGTCGGGGCAGCTTGTGCCCCGCCCACCTTAGACTGCAGCCTGTCCAGGGAACAGGTTTACCTGCTAAGTTGTGATGCCCAGCAAGACAGGCCAGATGAAAGGAAGTCTCCTAAGCTAACAAGAGCACCCACCGGACTTGTTAAAACACATAGTGCCAGCTCAGCGCCTGTGGCTCTAGTAGCTAAGGCACCAGCCACATATACCTAAGGTGGCAGGTT